AGGTGCGGGACGGGTACTCTCACCTTGACCAACTTCCACCTGCCAGCCTGAGCATGAAGCTGGGATGCGATGGGCTTGCCACCACACACACCCTCACTTCACTTATCAACACGGTCACCATCTGAAGGCCAGGTTGTTACTGTGAAAATCGGCATGATATGAAAATGGAAGAGTAACTGCATCAGATCACAAAATAGAGGGGGACGGCATCATGACACAACTGCCAGACAACATCATTACACCACTGTGAGATCACACCATCACACACCTGCCAGGTGACATCATCACGTAACTGCCTAACTGTATCATGACCTAACCGCCAGATGACATCATTACACAACTGTGAGATCACACCATCACACAACTGCCAGATGACATCATCACGTAACTGCCTAACTGTATCACTGCACAACCGCCAGATCACATCAGTACACAGCTGCCAGACCACATCATCACATAACTGTCAAATCGTATCATTACATAACTGCCAACTTATGTAACTGCCAAATCACACCGGTGCGTAACTGCCAAACCGCTGAGAATCCCTGTGCAGCCAAGGTGGCGCCTACCCTTAGCCACTACAGCCGGCCTCCCTCTGGCCTCCCACCTCGCGGTCCCTATGCTGTGAATGCACTGAGCAGTCGGACAGCAGCTTGCCCACGTGGTCTAACTGGAAATACCTGATGACGAGGCTGTGGGTCAGCAGGGGCAGGTGAGCACTTTCACACACAGACGCTGTAAGGACAGAACAGCCGCTGTGCCATTGGCCACGGCGCCCCCACGTGCCTCAGAGCCGCACTGCGCCCCACGGGGTTCCCAGTGGCTGATTCGCAGGTCACCGGGCCTTTCTGCTGAGGTGGACTCGAACCTCCGACCTTTAGGTTAGCACTCACCGTCTGCCCCACCAGGGACCCCTACAGATGCGGTGCTTGTGGATAACACTGGAGAGGAGGTGACAGTGAAAGGCAGACGGTGAGGTGGGCTCCCAGTGTTTGCAAACTCTGTGGTCGGTAGAATGTATTCAACTGCAAAATTAGGGTTTAATTATCCATCATGACTGTGCTTAACACCTGGCTTGCCCAATTCCTGAACCCCTTTTCTTTGACTTGCATGAGATGGAGACAGCCAGCACTGTGCCCAGGCCTCAGCTACC